GGAGGATCGCGCCGCACCGCTGGTGCACCAGCGGCGTCGGCGACGGAGGAGGCCAGGCTCCAGATCGCGCCACACACCGCCAACGCATCGGCGAGAGTGGCGCGGCCATCCGACCACGCGTGCTCCACCAGACTTCCCGACCCCTTCCTCATATACATATATATATAATATATATATATATATATATATATATATATATATATTCTCATACGCACCTCTCCGAGGGAGTAGAGCTCAGAGGCGATTAATGCGCCGCGTCCGCGATTTTTCTGGGCGTTTCGCTCGGGACATCCTCGAAATTCTGAAAATCGGTGGCACCCCTCACGCAGATCGCGACGTCAGGGTCCAAAGACACATGGGAAATTCACAATTTTAACATCAAACCTTCAAAAACACATGGTAATTTCAATAATTGTGACCCCGATTCTCAGTGAATGGCGGTTTCGCTTGAAAAATCCTTCCAAAATCGAGCCCCAGACCCCGCCTCGGAGCCTCCTGGGGGCCTCCTGGAACCTCCTGGGGCCTCCTGGGCCTTCTGAACCTTCTGGCACCCCAGACCCCGCCTCGGAGCCTCCTGGGGGTGTCCTGAAACCTCCTGGGGCCTCCTGGGGCCTCCTGCGGCCTCCTGGAGCCTCTTGGGGCCTCCTGAAGCCTCCTGGGGTCTCCTGGGGCCTCCTGAGGCCGCCTGGGGCCTCCTGGGGCCTCCTGGGGCTTCAGAACTACATGCACACAGAGACACAAATCACGCCCAACACATCACACGCTAGACAAACATACACACACACACACAACACCTACAACACACAAAAAGCACGCACCACACGAAGCATACATCACAAACACACACACACACACACACACACACACACACACACGCACAACACTCACAATCCTGGGGCCTCCTGGAGCCTCTTCTGGTATCCAAGTCGGGCCTCCTAAGGCTTCCTGGGGGCCCTGGTACACACATCGCAAGGTGTGGCAACCCCACTTGCGCTCGAGTGCGACTTCGATGTTGCATTTCACTCCTGCTTCAAACGCCCCTTCAGTTTATTGTATGAGCCTGGGCACACACGTGCCACTTGTATATATATATATATATATATATATATATAGATGTATAAATGTGTATATATATATGTATATATATATATATATGTGTGGGGGGGTGAAGCTGCGCGCGGGACTCGTTCTGGAGGGCCCCCGCGGGCCCCAGAACGGCTCCCCGAGGCCGTATACACTCGAGGAGCAGCGCCCAGATGGGAAAAAAACGTCCCATCGCCTGATAAAACCTCTAGGATTAGGTCGGGCCTGTCCTCCTACATGGGCGGACTTTGGAAGACCCCTGCAAACAGAGGCAGCACACACAACCTCCACAGTCAGTCGTAAAGACCAGTCGCCACCTCGTCCCCGGACTATGTCTCTTGACCGCCCCTGACTTACTCCTCCTGCAGAGGCCACCCTGCCCGGCTTGACTCTCCAGGGAGTCCTCGAGCGCGCCCACCATCGCAAAGGGCTCCACCAGCAGCACCGCCTCGCTGCCCTCCCCCGGCGCGCCGCGGCTGCGCGGCGCGCGGCCCCTGCCGGCCGCTCCGCGGCGCGCGCCGCGGAGCCCCCGGCGCCGCCCGGCGGCCCGCCCCCGCCCTCCTCGCCGCGCCCGGCCGGGCCGCCCGCCCGCCACTCCTCGGCGGCTCTCCGCGCCGGGCCGGCCGCGGCCTGCCGTCCGGCCGAGGGTGGGGCGCGACACGGCCTCGAACTTCGGCGGGGGCCAAGGCTCTCGGGCGCGCGTCGGCTCTCGGCGGTGTTTTGCAGCCTCGGGGCGCCTTCCATCAGCTGCGCCTCGTCGGGGGCGCTCCGGGGGCGCTCCGGGATCGTCCCGAACGGCCGCCTGGGAGCCAAGCCATGGCCCCAAGACCAAGGGGCAACGTTGGGGACGAGCCCAGGGGGGAGGTGAGAGGGAGCAGGCCGGCCCAGAGGGCGGCGGGGCTTCTCGGAGGTCCTCGCGCCTTCTGGCATGCCGTCTCTTTCTTCGGAGGAGGCTTCTAAGACGCGTCACCAGACACGCACAGTCACAGTCCACTGTCACTGAGACCCCAGCTAGGCCGTGCACACATGCAAAAGAGTAATTAATAGAAAGTCAGGGCGGCGGAGGAGGAGGAGAAGGAGAAGGAGGAGGAGGAGGAGGAGGAGGAGGAGGAGGAGGAGGAGGAGGAGGAGGAGGAGGAGTAAGAGGAGGAGCGAGGGCTCCTGAGAAGCCCCGCCGCCCTCTGAGAACGCCCGCCCCCTCTCACATCCCCCCTGGTCCCGCCGCCGATTCGCAGCTCTAATCCTGGCAGCCTCGCCTCGCGTCGTGACGATCGCTCGAAGGTCGAAGGTTTGGACCGTTTCTGGCATGTTCCGGGCCTCTCGGGGGCTCCTCGTCGCCACTTCTGGATCGGCCTCGAAGTCCTGGGCAAATCGCACCCCAGAACGGGTCCGTGGGGGTCGACTCATGACCCCTGGGGCGCTGACGTGTTCGCGTCGTGAAACACACACGGCGGGCGGTTCTTGGCCATTTTCGGCCCGAGGGGGGCCCTCACGGGGCCCAGGGGTGTCACATTGGCTGCTCGGGGTTGCCAGGAGCTGGTCGTCGGGAAAGGCTCCGGGCCTCTGGGGGGGCCTGCTGCGACACAACAACACGACGTCGGATGTCTGCCGAACAGGGGCCGACCGACCCGGCATTCCTATAGGCTTACCACGAAGTGTTCTCAGAACAACAGAATGTTCGAATCACGTAAGCCATGTTCTCGGATCATAAGAAGCCGACGCATTCAAAGAAGATGATATCAGCCAGAAGCGTTCTGAGAACATCTCGTGCAAACCACAAAAGGTTCTTTAAACCAGCGCTTGGTGGTTCCATAGGCAAACTAGGACGCCTCGCCACTGCTCGAGTCTGGGAAGGGGGGTCTCCACTGAGGGGGTCGCCACCCCCACCAGAAGCGGACCCCCCCCCGACAGGTCCCCCCAGCAGGGCCCCCAGCGTCGATCCATGACGCCCAGGGCGTCCACTCTCGACACCTCCCTCCCCCTCGACCCTCTCTGTCTCCAGGCCCATGGGCACAGACCTCCGGCGCTCCAAATCTTTCGGGGCGGGCTCCCCTGAGGTCTGGACAGCTTCACCATGGGGCTGGCCTTTCGCCCTTGGTCGTTTCTGGAGCCTCAGACCACCGGGAGGGGCAGTCGCGGGGACCCAAAGGGGCCTTGGCGAGGAGCGTCGCCATGGGGCTCCGCCGCTCCGCCGCCGGTGCGCCCGACGGGGAGTCTCCCACCAGGCCGCCAGCGGAGAGGCTGGCCGGCCGCTTGCGGCTGGCCGTCGGCAGCACTCTCGAGGTCAGGTAGTCGCGCAGCCGCGCGGCTGGCGACGCCGCGGCCGCAAGCGCGGGCCTGCGCGGCAACGATGCAGGAGGGGGCTGGCCCAGGTGGGGAGCATCGACCTGGAATCGGGGGAGCATCGCCGCTAGATCGGCGCTGCGGCGACAGGGCCCCGATGCCGAATCCGCCCCTTCCTGGGCGGGGTCGGGCTATCCGACCCCTAAGGAAGATCAGTTGGCGACTGGGGGTCGATGCATTCTCGCCTGAGCCTCTACCCCCCTAACTCGCCGGCGCTCGGACGCCGACTCCCTGTGCATGTCTCGGCTTCGTGCGCGTATTTCCCCCCCTGGATGGCCCAGAAAGCTCCTCGATGGTCCTCGCCGAGGAATATCCGCACACGCCCGAGGGACGCCAGGCCGATCGTTGCCCCCAACGGGCCCCTCGGACGCGGCCGCGGCCGCCGCGGCGGCCGCGCCCTCCGCAGGCGGCGGCTCGCCGAGGCCGCGGGCGCCGCCCCGCTGCGGCAGCGCCCCGAGGCTCGGCGCGGAGGCCGCCGCGCCCTGCGCGCCGTCGGCGGCGGCGCCGGGCGCCCAGGGCGCAGCGCAGGCGGCGCCCGCGCAGGAGGCCGCGGCTGCGCCCCGGGGCGAGATGCGCACCTTGGAGCCGCACGCGGACACGAGCCAGAGATCCGACGGCTCCAACGGAACTTGGGGCGGCGGGATCTGGGCAGCGTTCGGCCTCCAGGGGTCCTCGCCGGGCCCCGGGAGCGTCGACAACACGCAGCAGGACGAACAACTGGCCCCGGAGAAGGGGTCTGGACCCCTGGGGCCCACGCATCCAAAAAATTGGAGCAGCCGGATGCCTGGGCACATACATATACGCAAGGGTATGAAGGCCTTCGCCCAAAACGTGTGGCGTGTACGCAGCACCCCGCAGTTGCGGGTGAGCGTGCGGGGGCGGGTCGCGGGTGGATCGCGGGGTGGATCGCGGGGTGGGTCGCGGGGTGGGTCGCAGGGCGGGTCGCGGGTGGGTCGCGGGCGAGAACGACGGCCCTCGGGCGAGATGCGCACCATGGAGCCGCACACATATACGATCAGGAACTGTTGCTTCGCGTGTCGCCGCAGCGGCCGCTGCGACACGCTGCGCCCTGCGATTGGACAATGTGTCGCTCCGCTCTGCGGGGCGGTGGGCTCGGACAGGCTCGGGACGTTGAAGCCTGGGGACTGGCAGTGAATAGCGTGTCGCGCCGCAGCGAGGTGGGCCAGATCCGACGGAGCGACACGCTATCCAAAAGATCCCGACCGTATGCGCAAAGGGATGTAGGCCTTCGCCTGAAACATAGGGTATGTGTGTATACATACATACATACATATATATAAGAGAGAGAAAGAGAGAGATGGTTGAGCGTCTCACGCTCGCGAACCTACCCCGAAGATCGTCCACTGCACTCGCGGTGGCGGCTGCGAGCACGGCATCCTGGCCCTGAGCACCTTCACCGGCTTGGCCAGCAGCCGCAGCACCGAGAGCAGCGGGGAGCCCCCGCCGCCGGGGTCGCGGCCGCGGCCGCCGCGGCCGAGGCCGCTGGCCAGCTCCGCCAGCGCGCCGCCGCGCCCGGGCGGCGGCCCGCTGCCGCCGCCGAGCGGCACGGCGCCGTGCGGCCGCAGGTGCGACGGCAGCGCGGCCGCGCGGAGGGCGTGGATCGGGAACAGCGTCAGCGGCGGCTGCCCGATGCGCTGGGCCGCCGACACGACCAGGCGCGCGAGCGTCCCCAGCGCGCCGTCTGGCGACCTGCCCACGCAGTCGAGGAACAGCTGCAGGCGGTGCGTGAGCACGCCCCTCCAGTCTGGGCAGCTGGCGTCGCCGGCGCAGGGGAACAGGAACGCGTGCAGGGCGTCGGCGAGCCCGCTGGAGGCGAACTCGAAGGTCGTGACGCCGTGGCCTGCGGTGACGTGGCCGAAGAGCCGCTCTAGCGCCTCCCGGCTGCAAGGCTGCGTTGCCTGCTGGTCGCCTCGCAGCTGAGCTGCCAGTTCACGCAGCGGCGCATCGCAGGGACTACCAGCGCCGATAGGCTGGATGAGTGCAGAAAACACACGCTGGGCAGCCTCCCGAGTCAGACGCTCCTTCGCAGATTGGTGCTGAGAGCTGCCTCGCCCGCCGTCGGACAGCCTCTGAATCGCATGGAGCACGCCGTGTCGCGCGAACAGCACCGAATACGTCTGCGGGTGGCGCTGCAGCAGCTCCTCCGCCATGATCAGGCACGCAACGGTGGTCGTGCGTCCAGAGCTCGCCAGCAGCATGTTGGCCAAGAAGTCCGATAGCCTTGAGGGGGAACTGTATGGGAGGACTGGCTCACGAGGGGAGGCATCGACCTGGAATCGGCGATGCATCGCTGATAGATCGGCGGTCTGCCCTCGATAGCGAATCCTCACGTTCCTGGGCGAGGTGGGCTATCAGGCCCCTATCGGTGATCAACAACGGGGGAGTGGGGAGCGGTGCTTCCCTCTTGAGCCTATCCCCCTCTAACGTTGCCCCTAGGGCCTTGCTGGCTCCAGCAGCCCCGGCACCACGTCCGGCTGCTCGCGGCACGCTAGCAGGAAGGCGAGCAGCAGCGAGACGCAGAGAGACTGGACCATGGGCTCGGTGGACGCCTCGTGGATCTCCAGGAGGCCGGGCAAGAACGACTCGGCCTGGACGAAACACCATCTTAACAAACATGACCGTCGTCCCCCTCGCAATTGTGGATGAGGGTGAGGGGGCGGCGGGGTCGTCGGCAGTCCACGAGGCTCTGGCCCGCCGTAACCCTGGAAGAAACTAAGTCTGAATCGTGACACCCTTGCGGCAGAAGACCTCAAACAGCTTTGCACAGGTACAGCACCTTACAGACGTGCTCCAGAGGATGTTTATTAATGGATCTCTGTCGATGTAAAACACCGAAGGGGCGAGCGAAAAGAAAAGAGTGAATTCCGCGTGGAATTGTTGTACTCTGCATTCCTGGCCAAAAGAACCCGCACGAAACTCACTTCAAACTCTGGAACGACATGATCCAGGACAATCTGGGCCCATCCCTTTGTCTTCAAAACGGAATCCGCTCTGCGATGTTGGCGCCGTGACACATGGGGGCCACGAGCGGGGGGTCACGACACGAGGTCCACGACAGGGGGCCACGATGAGGGGATCGGGACAGGGGGTACGGGCAGGGATCTATGGCTCGGGATATTGGGATCACAGGGTGTTCGAGGTCCGCGCGGTCTTCGTGGATCGTCGTTGGACCCCCCCTCCCCGGCGGTGCTTCTGGCCCGGAGCCGATGCAGGAAGCTCGCGCGGACCTCCGCACCTCCAGTGTTAAGCTATGCTCGTGCAGAATGTTTCTCTTCGGCGGCCAGGAGCTGCATGTAGCCGGGGTTGTCCCGGAAGAGTGTGAGGCGCTTCTCCTCGCACGTGCACCTCGAGCCCACGATGTGAATGGCGGGGAGCATGGACGCGACCACCGCGAGGGCGGGCAGCGTGCCTGCAGGGGGCCGCGGGGAGGGCTGCGCTGTGCCGCAGGAGTCTGCGCTGGTCAGCATCCCCTGCAGCAGCCCGCACACGTCTTGGTTCAGCAGCTCTTCCGTGATCGCCTCGGAATAATTCGTGAGAACTGCCAGGATGTACAACACCTCGACTGTGACCACCGGGCTGTGGATGCCCGGGTCGGACGAAGGATGGGATAGCAAAGGGCGGGGTATGGAATCAGCCCTTGCGACTGGTTTCTTGCCGCCAGGCGCCTCCCAGCGCTGGACGCGCACGTGCATTCAGGAAGGTGCCCAGGCGCCAGGGTGGAAAACCGGCTGCACGCAGCAGATCTCACACCCCCCCATCTCCCCCCCCTCCTCCTGAGGAGCACCGAGAGGGGGGAGACCAGCTGAGATGGGGGGAAGCACCGACCTGAAAGCTGCGATACATCGCCCATAGGTCGGCGACAGGCCACCGATAGCGAATCCGCATGTTCCTGGGCGGTGTTGATAGTCCCGGGACCAAGGAAACACGATCTATGATGGGAAATGATGACGGATGTGATGATAGAAGTGTGTGTGTGTGTATGTGTGTGTGTGTGTGAGAGGCAAACGGGTTGTTGAGAAGCTGGCGTGGGCCAGCAGCGACGCGCACTGAGATCGAGCCGTTTCGGCTCGCACGTTGATTGATGAGGGAAAGAAGTCCTCCCTGTCGGGAAAAGGTCCGTGGACCCCATCTCCGCCAAGGAATATCAAGACACTAGCATGGTAGCGGTTCAACATCCAGGAGCGGGATCGGACGTAGCAAGTACCGTCCACCCTGAGAGCTCAATTGAAAATGTTTCGCCGAGTTCAGCGACTGTGACTCGACAAGGAGGTCAGAAGGTTCAAGGGGCACTTCTACCTGCTGCTGACGAGGGCGACGAAGGTGGCTGGATATTCGCGTTTACGGACAATGATGACAATGGCATCCCCAGCGGGCACGAGATACTGGCGGCTAGCGGAGCTCACAACCATGTAGTACCAAGGGCGATGACGGAGGGGTGTAAGATCGCGGGCGAAAGAGGACAAGTTCTACGATGGATCACGGGGAAGGGCATTCGCCCATGGGACAGGCGCGCATTGACTGGAGATCTCCAACTGAAAGACGACGACGCCAGCGAAGCTAGACGTTGCCCCAGCTGAAGTACGACGTGAAGCACTTTCGGTCGCCGAGATGAATGATACAGGGTACTACCCAGGATGTTCAAAGGCAGCGACGGTTTGTAGGACGGCCTTGAGGACGTACAAGAAGAAGGTACGGTTGCCATGTCACTACGACGGAAGGTTAATGCCTTTCTCTTACCGGTGACGGTCAAGGAGCCCCACGGCGACGAGGCCATCATTAATGACATCGAGGAGGCGACAGGCCAGGACACACAGAAGGAGGATGAGGATGGCGACAAGGTGGAGGTTACCGACAGCGGTGGCCATCCAGAGGCGGCTATGTCACGAGATGGTCTTCGTGTTGCCGCTAACAGTGCACTACCGCATGTGGGGACGCTCACAGCTCCTGGATTACGACGACCTGGGGTGATATCGGCCGAAGCTGCAGAAGCTCACCCCATAGACGTGGGCATATACCATTGGAAGCCTGGTGCCAGGAGTGCATGAGTGGACGTGGGCAAGAGGACCCACATCGAGCAAGAGATCCTACGGCATCGGCTATACCTTTCGTGCAGTTCGACGATGGTTTCTCTGGACTCGGGGAGGACGGCTCGGGTCACAAGCTCACGGTGGTAATGGGCAATGATCGGAGGGCAAGCTACCTCATGGGAGTCGTCATCGAGGCGAAGAGTGACTAGAGCTACGCGCGCCTAGCACTAAGTGCGTGTCTGGACGAGTTGGGCTACATGAGCATGGAGGTTCATCTCAAGGAGGAGCTGAGAGTGACGTCACGGCAGTTGCAGGCTGAGCAAGATCAACACGGCTCGCCCCCAATAAGAACTACAGCATGAAGATCACAGAGGGCATGCCCATCATCCCTTGGATGGTCAGGCACCAGGTGTTCTGCCACACCAGGTGCCAGCTGAGGAGTAGCAGTGGTCGCGCCCTACACGTCCTCCATGCTGGAGTTCGGGTAGACGATAATCGGCAAGAACCAGGTCAAGCTGCATGACAAATTGGGGTCAGCCTTGTGCCAGGGTATGTGGTTGGGGCGGTCTGGGGTGGTATGTGGTCGGGGCGGTCTGCGAAGTGTGGTTCATCGGTACAACTACTGGCGTCGCGATGGCGAGGACGGTCAAGCAGGTTACCCGTGAGGAGAGCACCGACATGGAGGATCTCAGGACGATGCTTTGGACGCCGTGAATGATATAAGTAATGGCTGAGGTCTACCGACGGAGGGATGTGCTGGATGAACAGGGACGTCCACCTCATCATTCTGGCCAGCAACGTTAAGCGAGCCACCGCAGGTTGTTGCGGCCCCAGTTCCAAGTCAAGCTGCGGATGCCTGACCATTTCGGCCTGGAGGAGGTCCACGTCAGGGGCCCGCGGCATGAGCACGACGCCAGACACAGCGACGCCTGCGTGGCAAGCAGGATGCTTCGTGTAGCTCCAGTGGGTTCAGGACGGACCAACCATCGAGCAGACAACGCACAACTCGGAGAGGGAGGCCAGGGAGGTCCACCCAGCCGTCGGAGCATCGCTGGCGCGATCGAGGCGTTGGACGAGGCCGAGCTGAAGGAGCTGGCGGCGTTCATGAGGGGCAACGATAGGGGGGGAATGGGCGGCATAGGGGGGGGGGAACATCGACCGCGAGTGGGCGATACATCGCCGATAGATCGGCGATGGGCCCCCGATAGCGAATCCTCACGTTCCTGGGAAGGTTCGGGGACTCTCAGGCCCGTATCGGCGATCAATGGGCGATCGGGGGTCGATGCATCCCTCCCTATGCCTATCCCCCCCTATCGCTGCCCCTGCGCTCAGCATCGTGGAGATGCTGCAGCTCATCGCCGAGATCGACGAGGAGACCGAGGAGAACAGCGAGCTCGTACTCGTCGTGGGGTGGACGCCCGAGGACGAGTGGGAGGCGAAGCAGATCGAGATGGACAAGCTTTACACCTGCGGCGTGTGGGAGCTGCAGATGAGGGATCCGAAAGGACCCAAGGCGCACACCTGGCAGTGGTTCCTGGAGCAGCGAAGCGGAGAGCTCAAGGCGAGATTCGGTTCCCGGCCGTCCGGCAAGGAACTGACGAAGAGCGAGAACGAGCTCTACTTCCGACACCTCTTTCATTCTCGCTGAGGATCCCGATGGCCTACGCCGTGGTCGAGGACTTTCCGACGTTCTACTTCGATATGTCTAGAGCGTTCCTGTACACCCCGGCCCGCGAGCTTGTCTATGCCGCAGTACCGAAGGACTGTATGCACCTGCCCGACGACTCGGACTGGGTCTGTAAGTACAACAGGACCGTGTACGGCCTTAACGAGGCGATGGTGTATTTCGACGTGCACTCCGAGAATGTGGCTACTGGACGGGACGAAGATTCCTAGATGCAGTTCAAGAGGTTCCTATCGGACCCATGCACGTTCACCGACAAGGAGAAGTCGCTGGCAATTTCTAAGCGCGTGGACGATGGTACGTTGGTTGGCCCGCGGGAATTGGCGCGGGATGCTCTGAGGGAGTTTGAGAAGCAAGTTTGTTTGAAGGTTCTGGAGTTGGTTAATGGAAGATCGGAGATCAAGCACTTGGGACGTGGCTGGCTCCGCACCCCCGAAAATATCCAGGTACGCATTTGGCTAGCCACCGTGAAGCGCCATCTTGAGACCGACCCAGACGACAAGAGAACGAGCCCAACACCAGGAGTCAAGACCGAGAGGAAGGCTGAGAGAGAGAGGAAGAGTTGGACTCGAAGGCGGCCAGGAAGTTTCCAGGAGCGAATGGTCTCAACATGGTTGTTTGCCTGGAGCGCCCTGAGTGCCAGTTTGCAGCCAAGGAGTGTCCGAGGGGGGTGTTACGACCCACGGTTCAGGACCAGAAGCACCTGACCAGGATCATAAGGTTCATTCGTGGGCATCCTTCGGATGTCGTGTGCATGTACCCGAGGGGCAACACATCGAGTCGAAGGATCTGTGGGTTAAGGACCTGGCCGCCAGGAAGGAGGCGTCTAAGGTCAACACGAGGAAGATCCATACTGACATTAACACGGCGGACATCGGCACCACGTATTTGACCAGAGTTGACTTCATGCGACTGGAGATCATGCGAGTCACAGCTGACAGGTAAAGGAGAAGTTGGTGCAGTCTCAGGCCGTGGAGTTTGAGATTACACCAGTACTGGAAGCCAGATTGCCAAGCCAATTGCCGACCTACTCGAGGCATCAAGTCGTTGTCTCGTGGGAGTTGGTGGCGCGTTGCAGCTAGGACAGGTTGCCGCCGCTTGTGAAGTTGTGGACTACAAAGGTGTACCCTGGCAATTGTGGAGAGTACTACGGCCACCCATTTTGGCAATATCCAAGGCAACTTGATCATGCTGGTGAACAGCTTCCCTGCAAACATCATGACGGTCATCATCTACAGGACGTGGAGATGGACAGGTAAAGCAGCCCATCGCAATGCCTCAACTCAGTACAGTCCGAAAGACGCTTGCAACAACCAGGAGACCGCAGACATCATCGAGACGCGGTTGACGGTGATGCTATGACGGTCGAGGAGGCCAGGAAGTATCTTCGGAAAAGAGAGAGAGAGAGAGAGAGAGAGAGAGAAATGCCCTGGATACAGCATGGAGACGATGTTTGTTGTTATCAGGACGTGTGTCGTCGCAGCCATGCGGGACATCGAGAACGACATGACCAGGGAGCTACATGGATTTCTGGAGGATTGGTTCCTTCGATCGGCGATTCATGAAATATGAATAGAGTTCGAACATGTTTCCAGATGCGAATCTTTCCTCGGATTCTATCTGCAGTCGGACACGAGGAGGGGTCCAGAAAACATTATATTTATACGATGGGGTCAGACGAAATGAGCGGGGTAAATGGGTTGTTGATACCTGGCGAAGGCCAGCCATGATTATTACTGTGATCGAGCCATTATGACTCGCGAGTTGTTTGGTGAGGGAATAAATGTTCACCCCAGTCGGGGAAAGGTCCGTGGACCCCAGCTCCGCTCAGCGATACCAAGATACTTGCACAGGGCGACATCGCTGAACAAATACCCGAATTGAAAGATCGTGCCGTCGGAAATCTTGAAGGTGCCCCTGGCAGGCCCCCATCGGCACTCGATTGGCGACTTGGGGTGGATGCGTCCCCCCCCCCCCCTGAGCCTATCCCTCCACTGACGTTGCCCCTCACTGAGGCAGGTCCGATGGTACTGCCTACCGACATCGCCACTCCACGGCCCTCTCCCGGCGCGCGTTCTGCCTCGGACCTCGGGGCGAACCCAGCCGTGGCGACGAGGGAAGCGCAGCGGCAGCGGTGCCTCTCTCCTCCCCCGACTGGTCCTCCCCCGTCGCCCGACCCGAGATGCCGGAGCCGAGCAGCAGCAGGAAGCTCCCCAGCACGCCAGCGGGGCACATCTCCTCGCCAGGATTGGGGTCGTGGGGCCGGCGCAGACGGGTCCGCGGGGAGAGAGGTGCAGCAGTGCTTGCGACAATCGAGCGACGATCCACAACGGGTCTCACGC